ACTATAGCTAGTAATTGTCGACATGTCTTCATTTGCTGTTTCTATATGGGTTCCAGTAAGTGAACTATAGCTAGTAATTGTCGACATGTCTTCATTTGCTGTTTCTATATGGGTTCCAGTAAGTGAACTATAGCTAATAATTGTCGGCATGTCTTCCTTTACTGTTTCTATATAGGTTCCAGTAAGTGAACTATAGCTAGTAATTGTCGGCATGTCTTCCTTTACTGTTCCTATATGGGTTCCAGTAAGTGAACTATAGCTAATAACTGTCGGCATGTCTTCCTTTACTGTTTCTATATGGATTCCAGTAAGTGAACTATAGCTAATAATTGTCGGCATGCCTTTCTTTACTGTTCCTATATGGGTTCCAGTAAGTGAACTATAGCTAATAATTGTCGGAATATCTTCCTTTACTGTTTCTATATAGGTTCCAGTAAGTGAACTATAGCTAGTAATTGTCGGCATGTCTTCCTTTACTGTTCCTATATGGGTTCCAGTAAGTGAACTATAGCTAATAATTGTCTGCATGTCTTCCTTTACTGTTCCTATAGGGGTTCCAGTAAGTGAACTATATCTAATAACTGTCGGCATGTCTTCCTTTACTGTTCCTATATGGGTTCCAGTAAGTGAACTATAGCTAATAACTGTCGGCATGTCTTCCTTTACTGTTCCTATATGGGTTCCAGTAAGAACATGATAGCATCTCGACCGCACACTTTGAGTGTCTTACGCAGCTTCAGACGAGGCTTTTCGCTCAGTGCCAGTACACATCGAATGGGCTGTGTATGTAACATGCCACACCTAAATCGAAACGTTATTTATATCAGTAATTTATAAGAGATCAAATATAATTGTTATGTTTGTTTGAAGTTAAGCACAAAGGTACACAATGGGTTATCTGTGCTCTACCCACCACAGGAATCTAAACGCGGTTTCTAGCGTTGTAAGTCCGCAGACATGCCGCTGTGCCACTGGGGAGAGGGGCTAAATAGAATTATACATAACATAACATAACATGAAACATCAATCTGCGGATAACGTTTCCGATGTGAACAAAATTCACTGCTTCAAGTTTTTTATTTTTATCAAGCTAATTGTCCTAGAAGTAAATACACAAACATTTAAACCCCTTACCAAAAGCTAATGCACTATATAATCACTCATTCACACAATTTCACTGCTCTGTCATGCAATTAAAAAAGTTGGTTTTCTTTTAGTGCCTGTCTAAACGGGTTATAAAAACAGGAAGCTTAAAACAACTCACTTTCAGACGATATTTGCGTCATTAAACACTAAGCATGGAGTTGTGACAGTCAAGTAAGTCATAAGTCAAAGTTGTTGGATTCGTCCAAATGGAAACGAAAACGAAGAAACAGAACACGCAATCCACAAATTCTACAATTGCCGCTTTCGTTCTTCTGCACATCGCCTCCTTCAGACTGAACTTAAGCTTTATTTGTTACTTTTTCCCTTAGAAACTTCTAGAGTTTCATTAAGAATGAAACAAAGATTTATTACTCTTTATTACTTCTCCAACCATTTACTTTTTCAGTTTGTCGTGCATTTTATTGTGCTTTTGCACTTAACTTTTATATCTAATTCATCGCTTCTTTCACTATTTATTTGCTAGCATGATTGTGAATATCACCTCGTATTTTATGCTTGAGAACGAGAACTGTAGCAGCCTCGATTTCAAGAGTGCAAAGTAAAATAAACGTTACAATGCTACAGTTACAGATAAGTGATGCACGTGATGCTTTTTTCGGACACAGCTGCATTGAAACTAAATCAACTAGTAACTTGTGCTACATAAAAATTACGTATGCTAAATATGGTTACTTCTAGTTTATCCGTTAAATTAGTACAACGACAATGTAAGCAAATAATGGAATGTTGTTTGGTAAATATAAATGATATTTATTATGAATGATATCTTATTTTTTTAAAGAAACAAAACTTACATTAATTAATTTTTTTATAATGGTGGCTTTTTTAGCATAAGAATATGATGACAGTTTACTTAATTTGTTTGTAGTTATGCACAAAGCTACACGATGGACTATCTGTGCTCTGCCCACCACGGGTATCGAAACCCGGTTTCTGGAGTTGTAAGTCCGCAGACATACCGCTGTGCCACTGGGGGGGGGCTGACAATTTAGAGTTATGTGGTGAATTGTATAGTTTGACTTTGAAATAACATCAAGAAATTATATAAATAAATAGATAGAAACAGCCTTTACGATTTATAGATGATAAACGTTGTAATGCTTGTGTCTAATACTTGTTGAGTTTAAGAGTTGATTAATTTTTAAGACATCATATTGGCCAGAGGGATGATTTATGTTATATAGAACTTTTCTCAAGTGTAAAGTGCAGCCCCCCCCCCCCAGTGGCACAGCGGTATGTATACGGACTTACAACGCTAGAATCCGGGTTTCGATACCCATGATGGGCAGAGGACAGATAGCCCATTGTGTACCTTTGGGGTTAACTTCAAACAAACAAAACAATTATGTTTGATCTCTTATAAATTACTGATATAAATAACGTTTCGTGTAAAGTGCAACCCAAAGCTATAGTGTGGTTTCTATATATATATAGACGTATTATTTAAAAACAGATTATTTACGCTGTTGTTACTTTCTAAGATTGGGCCTGGTGGTTAGGGCGATCGACTCGCAACCTGCTGGTCGCGGGTTCGAATCCCCGTCCCACCAAATATGCTCGATCTTTCAGCCGTAAAGACGTTATAATGTAACTGTCTATACCACTCCGTCGGTGGAAGTGTAGTGCAAGAGTTGGCAAATCTATCACTGTTAAATTAGGGACGTCTAACGCAGATAGCCTTCGTGTAGCTTTGCGCGAAGTTCAAAATAAAACAAACAAAATCTTGCTAACATAATTTAAAATTAACGTCTACAAAAATAAAGAAGGTGAATCTGATGAAATTATGATCTTGCTATTTTAGTGAAAAACTACACAATGGGCTATCTGCGCTCTGTCCACTGCAGAAAATCGAACCCCGGATTTTAGTTATATAAGTCCGTAAACTTACCGTTGACTCGCCGGAAGAGAAGGCAACTATGCCTGAGAACGTTTGTATAAAACTTATAGTGCTGTCTTATCTGTATTAAAATATATATTTAATTTGTTGAAATGCAAAACCCAAATTGTTGTAATATATACATACAAATAGTGACAAAATCTTGAAATAGTATATATATATATATATATAAGAAAAAAAGGCTAACGAAATATCATGATAGAAGTCGTACGACTACAAATATATAGTATATTATAATTGTTAT